AGAATCGCGGGCGGCCTTTTATTCGTTACCGAGAACCAGCGCTGCTCCACGCGACGCAGATCCATCGTGGAGGCGTCTCTGTGTCGTGTGTACTACCGCTTGTCCATTATACGACATAAAATTCCTTCCATCGCCTCGAGATAAGATCTTCCGGGCCGAGTCGCGTGTCCTACCGTGAGATCTGATAACGGACTAACCCGAGTTCCCGCGCATCTCACCCTTTCTTCCTCCCTCTCTCCCCACCCTCCTTTCTCCATCCCTGTTGTTTCGCGCACAAACAGACGTACGGAGGCGTACGAGATGCAGGCAGATAGAGAGAGAGAGAGAGAGAGAGAGAGCGAGGACACGAGCATGACACACGTTCGAGGCGCACACAGGCGTCGCAACCCTGTCATCGACGACCCCAATCATCCCCCCCGGCAAGCTTCATCGAACGAAGGCTGTCAATATCGTCGTCGGTATAAGCAGATCCGATGATGTACGCTCGACGTCAACGAGTCTCCGTAAGATATCGGACGTGCTTTCGATTCGACGTGCGCGTGAGAAAATAGGGTGCGAAGAATCGCTTTGTGAAACCTCGTCCCTCTCTTTCTCTCCTTTCGATCCTTCCCTTCCGCGCTTTCCACGACTCTCCCCCCCTCTCCCTTCCCAAGCCTTTTCTCACTCATTACGTCTTCTCGATACGGGACCGAAGGAAATATTCTTATATCAACGGGAAAGTATTTTTTTTTCTCGAGAGAGGTCGAGATATCAAAGTGTAATCTTTCCTTTTTTTTTTTTTTTTTTTCACGAATACATTTTTTCGAATAAAATTTCAATTATCGAAACGAATTCGCGATTGATAAATAATGTATTATTTTTCGAAGAGGGAGTTTATATATTACGAGAGTAATATAAAGGATCGCGTGTTACAAGATAGTTTATAAATTATTATTTTCGACGAACAACGGTTAAAAGATTGAAATGTCTGCCGAATGAAAAGCGAAGTGAGATGTATATTACGTTTATCAATTTTAAATGTGATCGTTTTCCCCGGCTGGAATTTTTGATGAGAAAAAGTTAAAGATGGAGAATTATCATGGGTTATTTACAAGGGTTGTCGATGAAATATAAAATTGTAAAAAGGAAGGATTTCATCGTCACGTGATAATTATTTCAGGATTCACGTTTCTAACTACAAGGTTACTTCTATTCCAAGATTATTCCTCTTTCTCATTTTTTTTCTCGATAAAATCTATTATTCGTTTCCGTACGATTCCTCCCCATTCCCTTGTTTAAATACCATCCATTAACAAGATTACATTGTACGATGCAAATTTATAAATCATTTTCAATTATAAAAAAATTTTGTTTATGATCAAGGGTAAAAAAAAAAAAAAAAAAAAGAAGAAGAATCCAAAAAATCCAACTCAAAATATTAATTTCTCTGATTTTTATCGATCGTATCGATCGATACCTCCCTTATTTTCCCGAGCCGAAAATTCATCACCTCGACAGCTTTCTTATCTAAATCTCGTCCATAATTCACTTCGATTAGAAACGATTCGATGGTCGAGCCGAGGGAGATCGATCATACGCGCCCCTCAAATCGAACGTCCTCCATCACCGATTCTCATCGAAGATTGAAAAAAGGAAGAAAGAAAGAAAGGAAGAAAAAAAAAAACCGTGGACGATGGTAACTCGGAAGTGAACTCGGTTCTCGTGACAAAAGTACAACGTGAGGAGTGTGGCGGAGGGTGAAGGGTTGCAGTCCACAGGCAGCACCCGTAGGCAGCGTAGAATAATGTGGCGAAGCATTTCCGCATAGGAAGCCGTGCATTAGGCTATCAGATCGAGCACGCTCGACAACGACTGCCGTACCAGAGCCAGGAGGAAAAAGTGTCCGGGGTAAACCCTTACGTGATTAGTCGTCAAAGGAGAGAGGGTCCGTGGGGTGAAAGTGTGCCTAATGAGCCGCGAGATTGGCACCTTCGTGTCGTCCTTTAATCGCCATTTTACGGGAAACTTGTACGAAACTAATATGCAAGGATTATCAAGAGGAAAGTTGTCAATTTCTCCCTTTCAACGATCGTTAGGGTGGCCGACGGGGTAGACGCGGGTAATTATTTATGGACACGGCCAGGCTAGAAACATTGAGATTATAACCGTTCCGAGGGGTGAATCTTTTTTTTTTTTTTTTTTTTTTTTTCCTCTCCCTCTCCCGCGGTCAACTCTCTCTCCACCGGATAGCAATAGTTTTTTATCTGTCGCGGATGGGTCCGCCTCGAACGGACGTTAATTTTATCACGGGCTTAGGGTTAATTGCGCACCGCCGTTTCCTGCCCCCGTTTCGGAGGAACGAGTGATCAAATCAAAAGAGAGATCGAAAAATCTCCGTTCTCTTCTTTCTTCTATGGAATCTAACTAGTAATCTAGAAATCTAGTCGAGGAGAGAAGAAAGGGTGTATATATACACCTTTCGGTTTCGTCGATCGTCGTTGAAAGAGAGTCGGGGCTCGGAACCCCTGTCGTGTTCAGCTCGTTCCGTCTGGTTCGTCGTATCATCGGCAGAGACACAGCGGCGAAGGAAAAGGGAAGAATGGGGGCGAGGGGGTGGAAGAAGGGGGTGGGTTTAGGAGGAAGAGAGACCGAAGACCCCTCCGGTCCCGACACGACAAAATGTACCGAAATATATTCAGCCGGTAATTAGCTTTGTGCTTAACGGCGGAAGCCGGCCTCCAATGCAATTTTTTACTGGACGTTTGAAACTTTTGCAAACACACTCCGCCCGTTCCTCTCTTATCAACCACTCTAACCGATTCTCTTTCTCGCTGCCTTCTCGATGTTGAGAATGTTTCGAGAGAACGAAACAGGGCCATGGAGGGAGGAGGGAGGGGATGAGATTGGAGGAGCGCAAGAGCAACGGCACGAGGGACAACTTCCTCGGTGCAACTGATTCGCTCTGAGCCCTTTGCTCCTTTTTCTTTTCTTCTTCTTTCCACGGTGGACAAAACGCGCTCGCGTTTTTTTTCCCCCCTCTTCTCTTCTTTCCTTTCTTTCTTTCTTTTTTTTTTTTTTTTTTTTTTTTTTTGCGGTACATAGGTACTGCCTTTTTCTCCCGAATTCTGACGCTTTTCGATCGATATAGATCAGGAAATGATCTCGAAACTACCCTTCGGTTAGTAGCTTCGACTTCGAACAGGCGATTCGAACGTACGCGTTTATTTTCACCGGAATAAAATTTCGAACAACTTCTTTTTCTTTTTTTTTTTTTGCGCTCATTTTCCCCCGGCGGAATTTTAAGTGTACCCTTTCCTCATTTCCACGGGACCGGCTTTTTTAATGGACCTTTTCCTGCGTTAATTAAATTTCGCGGCCGGTCTCCCCTGCTCGCCCGAGTGCTTCGAATATTTCGTACGAGATCAACGGAACGATGATGGACACGTTCGATCATTGAAATTGAACCGTACGTATATTTTATAATACACGTATAAATTTTCATTGCTTCGAGGTGTAATCGAAGAACAATAATATAATATATACTCGTTATTTCGAATTCGTAAAATACACGTTCAAAAATAAAATTATTCCCAATACTTTTCTTCGAATTGGATAAATACGCAACACTAAATTAACACTAACTAATTATGCCTATATAACAAATTTTTCAGACATCTTAGAAAGAATCGGAAGGATCGATAAATCGCGATATTTAAATTCTACTAATTCTCTTAATCCGATTCCATCGCTTCAGAAAAACTCCATTATTCCTAATAACCGCGAAATAAAATGAAATAAAATCACGACACAATTAACCTAACCACGGAATAAACCATTCGAAAAGTAGGAAATATCCCATTCCTGGAATAGAATAGAACGCGGACGAGTTGAATGTCGGAGGTCGGTCTCGAAAACTTATGGTCTCCAAGAGGATGGGCGTCTCTCGCGATAAGAAAGCGGCAATAATGTAGGGACACAGGCACGCTCGTTTCTCGGCCGCCTTATATCTCGGATCTGTACTGTACTCAGCCTAATTATAATCAGGCTAATGCCTGCCCGGTGGTACGTGCCGGTACCAGCGATGACTCCTACGCTCTTCATACCTGGCCGCAATACTGTAGCCGCTGTTACTTATTCCCGCCCGAGGAGAGGGGTAATTAAGATTCGGACACACCCACCGTGACTCTCGTCTCTTGGGCTCTGACCGATTCTACGAAGGGAGTGGTCGATCCCTTGGAAAACCTCGTCCTCGTTTGCATACACACCGAACAAGATTCGCGTACAGGGCGGCATCCTCCGCGCTTCTTTTAACCAAATGCGCCAACACGGGAACCGGGGAGTGGCGACACGATGGTCAATCGTAGGGAGGGAGAGGAGGTGTTCCTCGTCGATTCCAAGGATTTACGTGTTCCAAGACGACGATATCTCATATCGATCTGGTTTACCAGGGGGATAGAGAATTCGAACGGCGAATGGACGGTGTGTTATGCAAATTCGTACGTTGGTACCGACGATCGGGGTACCCTCTTCTGGTAAATAGGGGGCATAACGCTGTTGGAGAACGAAGGATTGTTCCCGTGCTTTTAAGGGATTTTTGAGAACGTTTTGGAAATGTAATTTTTAAAATATAGATATATAAAATATAGATATTTTAAAATAAAGATATAATTTCTGAATATAGATATATTCAGAAATATTCATCCGTGTAGATATTATATATATATATATATCGAAAAGATATTTTGTAATTTTTTAAAAACGAACGGATGCTTTTGACGAAATAATTCTGTGTTCGTTGGAATTAATTTAATTGATCGAATTCGTTAGAAAGTTTATCAATTGTCGTTCGAGATAATTTTAAAATAAACAAATCGAGTGTGTTACAAGTGTGGAAATACAAATAGCAAATATTTGTTTCTGCCACATGTTACGAAATCTTGACCGTTATTCGAACTTTGAAACAATCCTTCGACTTCCGTGGTTAACCGTAAATTTCTCAATACAATATTGCTGCTACTCACCGGAAGTTGGAGAACCACTTGACCAGCTGCGCTGTGTTGTTCTTATTGAACCTGATGTCGGGGAAGTACATCTTGAGAATGGACGAGGACGGGTACCTGACCCAGAAGAACATCAGCTTCGCCTTCCTCAGATGTATCGGTGTTAGCATCGACGAGTTCACCGTGGTTAAGGAAATATCTCTTTTGCTTATCCTTGAAATTATCTCCACCATAAACACATTCCAACGCGTATAATATTATAGCCATTCGTCATTCCTTATGATAATAACATAATCGTATCGTATACAATTATTAACATCCATTTCTCTTTCATCTTTACATCTTCAAACGTAATTTATATTATTATTTACTATCCGATATCATGACGAAGAATCGTACAAGCATACACGTACAATTATTTTTCTATCGGAGGAAGAAAAAGCATGGAAAATGCATGGACCAGCAACAAAGCAAAATGGAAGAAGGACGAGGTTCTGTATCGGCAATCTGTTTCTGTGTACGCAAAATATCTCAAACTTAATCGTGTTTCCTTCGTATCAAATTGGATTAGAAATCGTACAAGCTGTGGATGTCGCGAGGGTAGTAGGGCTCGAAACGTTCTCACCGAGGTTGACCCACGATTGGCCACGTATCCTCAACGGAAGCCTTACCGATTTCTTATCGGTAATAGGATCTCTTCATGTGGTTTCATCGCATTCTTATTTGGTTAATCCTGGTGTCGAATCTGCCGCGATTCGTCTGCGCCTTAAGGCGTGCTCTTCCCGGATCAAAAATTTCATCCCTTTCGATCAAAGCCAACAACATTCAAAAATGAATTTTCATTCGAAGAGATATGAATTCGAAACCATCTTCTAATAATTCTAAAACGTAATCTTCCAAAATTCAAAACGAGATGGCGAAAGGAAAGTATCGGAAATTATCGGTGTGAAATCTCATGCGAGTGAGCGAGCGACTGTCGTTTCCCTTCACGAGCGAACGATTCGACGAGTGTAGATACGTCGTCCGCGACGAAGGACGACGCGTTTACGCGCGCTCGTCGATGAGCGATAACGAGATGCCAGACAGTAATAAGGGTTATTCCGGCGGAGGAAAGTCGAGCAGCGTGAAAAGCATATTTGGATACATGGAAGGCCGATAGGAGCAGCGACAGACAAGGGTGAATCCGGAGGTTGAGTGGTGAACAGCAGGTTGCGCCGCGCCGGTCATGCGCTCGACCTACCCCAAGAGGAGGGAGTGAAAAAAATGCGCCATTGATTTTACATCAAAGGCCGACTAAAAAGGCGGCAAAGAACGCCGCGCTGCCGATCGAACGACCCGGACCAACACACGCCGATGCAGTTCCACCGGCGTTGCATCGTTGCCGACGCGTTCGCCTCACGCCCCCGCGCGACACGCGTCTTTTTTTTTTCCTGGTCGAGGTGAGAGGGGAGACCCCCTTCGATATATTTGCAAGTGCTTTCGGTGGTAAGTGTTAGAGAGAGAGAGAGAGAGAGAGAGAGGGGTGGTGGCGACCGGCCGCGAGAGGCTACCCGGCCGGGTCATGCGTGATAATCGAGCTGCTGAACTTTTCGCGCCTGTTGATCACGCTTTCAGACGATCGTTCTGAGAGAGAAGGATGTGTGTCTTAACTTCGTCCGTTCGCCGAAGCTATTTTTACGAAGTCAAAGCGTAGTACTACGAGGTCACTTCGCTGCCTTCCCCGCTGATGAATGCGCCACGTCTCTCCACGTATTTTTGCGTGGCCGGTTTTCCATCCCGAAGGGGGAATAACGCGTTCAAGTGTTCCTGCCTCTTCATCCTTCGTCGAACGCGTCACGTTGCTACTGAACGCGCTTCGATGGATCCTATGGACGAGAGATATTTCCGTGAAGAACAGAGACCCTCCTTCCCCTCCCCCTGCCCGATTCGAGTCGATCAAGGAAAAAGAAGGATGGCGGCGAGGACGTACAAGGACGTTTAATAGAGGGATATCGGCGTAAGGAATAAAAGTTGGGGGTCAAGTCTGTGGAATTCCTACGATGCATTCTCTCATACGGTCGGAGAAGCAGTAGAAGTGGCTTATCTACGATAAGTCGAGGAGATGCTGGTGAAGGGAAGTTTCGCGGACCACCTTCTATTTCTCTCTCTCTCCCTCCCTCCCTCTCGTTTCCGTGGTTAAATTCCGAAATTGCAGGACAGATTATTGGCTTGCAAAGTTGGGTGAGACTCCGAGGCCGAGAGGGTGGGCCGAGTAGGCAAAGAACTTTCGACCTCGCGCGTTGTTGCCGGACAAACTCTACTCGTAGGTGCAGCCAACATTAGCCTAACTCCGTGGCAAACTAATCTAACATTCGTCCGAGCTTCCCCCTCCCCCCTTTGCCGCCTACCCTTACTCTTTACTCTCCGACTTCCTTCTCCTTATTGGAGCTGGATTGGCTTTTTCTCTCCTACAAAACTGCCCGTTGTTTTCCAAAGTTTCCAACCTCTTCCTCCTCCTCCTCCTCCTCTCGCGTTCCCTTATATTTCTCGGAAAAGAAACGTAGAAAAAAAAAAGAAAAAAGAAAAAAAGGAAAAAAAAAAGAAAGAAGAAAAGACTGGATTCCTAAGCATCGTCATCAACTCTTTCTCCTTTTATACCATTTCTCAACGCTCGTTTTTTCGCTCGTCCCTTTATACAGCTCTTTAAATACAGCGCATGCCCTCCCCCGATTTAATATCGAAAGTTCCATCCGTACTTTCTTTGGAGAACGTTCAGACTCTGTCCCTTCGCGATATTACATACAGTCGCGCTACGAAGTCGGCGGAGATTCCGCGCGTGTTGTTTCTCCAACAAACAGAGAGATACTACCGTTTTCGAGAAGGAAGTTCGACAGTTCCCTAACTATTACACAAACGGCGTGCCCCTCGTGTTTGCCGCGCATCGTTCTGGACGTTCTCCAAAACTCTTCCAACGACCAAAAGGCGAATCGAGACGATCTGTCTTTGTTATTATCATCATCTTTTCTCTCTCTCTTTTTTACTTTTTCTACGTTTCCTTTCTTTCTCATTCTCTCAACGACTCTCAACATGTATTAGAAAAGGATATTGTAGGCTGAATCCCGTCGTAGCTGATGTCGTCGGAGTTGCAGTCGTTGGGCCGTTCGTTGCTGTCCATCCTGAGATGTCCGTAATCTGGACTGCCATGCTGGGCAGCCGCCAATAAGGCAGGATGCAATGGCATGTGGGGCAGTGGAGGGGAGTCCCTGACATCTACACCTCCACCCGGAGGACTGGCAGGCAGGTGATGTGGGCCAGGAGGTGGTACCTGGCCTGGGTGACCCGCGTGAGGGTTGAAGAACGGTGAGTACGGCGAGAACACTTGGCTTTCGTGGAGACTGGGGTTTGGTATCGCTACGCTCGTTGGCAGGGACACTGGCAGCATCGGTGGTGGCGGGTGATACGATCTCGGTGGAGGCGGGGGTGGTGGACTCTCGCTGCCTCCTTGCGACCCACCACCTTCCTGCGCCAGGATTCTCGACACCGTCCTCGGCGTCAGCCTCGTGTCCGTCACCTGCGGAGGGAAATACTAATTGATGCATCGATTTTACAATCGTGAAATTCAGTCTCTTAGCCTACTTAAAACTAAACAACTATGTTTATCCCTCGATTTATTTCTTTTCTTTTTCGCTTCTCTTTCAAGTGTCGTTTTCTTTGTATCAATATATTTTTATTTCCGTGTAAAAGATAGTCTGACTAAATCGAGGGATACGTGTATCACTGACGAATAAATCATTTATATAATCACAAATATTGGATACAAAAGTATTCAGTTATTTGAATATTTTGTATGTATATACTTTATTTTGAAATGAAATAACAAATATGATAATTGATAGATTTCTCATTTTATATTTTACATACAAAATATACCAAGCGATCGAAATTCGTATTATTATAATAATTTATTATAATAATGTTAAACATGAATTTATATATTTTTTGAAATATTCGTCAGTAATACATATATTTATACACACACAGATATATATATATAGAATAATTTTTCTGATCAATTTAATCGAAATTTTTCTGATCAATACGAATGAGAGATTCGAACTTGTGGTAAACAATGCAACAAGTGAATACGTTCACTACGGAAAAGTCATCTATGGTATTCTTAATATTGTTTGTTTGCATAGAAAGATGATAATTACCTTATGGCGTTTCTTTTTCGGTGTCATTACGAGGGAAAGCGCCTCGTTCTGTTCCGAGTCCCTGCTTTCTCTCTCGTCGCCCCTCAAGTTGCAATATTGGTCACGTTGCTGCTGCTCTCTCTGTTGATGCTCTCGTTGCTGTTGATGTTGCTGTTGCTGCTGTTGCTGTTGCGCCTGCATGGAGGCCATGCTGTACATGGTTGGCGGTTTCGGTGTCTGGAACATCCTGCCCCTCACGTGCGAGGGCAGTTGATTCATTTGATTAAGATTGTTTTCCGTGGGGCCAGAATGCGGACCATGGGGTCCACCACCCATGGACGCGATTTGCGGGAAACCCGTAGACTGTGGAGGTGGGGGCCCGCCATTGTGGGGCCCCCGTGGCCCGTTTGGGCCACCGGGTGGTTGTGGCGCTCCTCTGTCTACTACTTTCGTCCTAGGCGACTTTCTCTCGAGTATTTGGCTCGCCAACAAGAGATCCTTGTTCAATTGCTCGGCGGCAACTTGCGCCGCCTCGCTCTGTTTACCAAGATACCTCCTCTGTTGGACGAACCTCGTCACCACCTTGTCGATCAGATTCGTCAAATACGAGGTGATCTCCGCTTTCAGCGTGTCGGACAGACTCTGGAGATCTTCGTCGGTGATGTGGGGGCCCGAGGTGCCAGCCGCTGCAGCGGCCCCTCTAAACACGTTTATCCTTTCCTGGAATTCTTTGTGCTGGAGAGGCGTGCTCGCCGGCTGCATTTGTGGTGTTTGCGGCGTGGACGGCCCTGTATTGCTTTGACTCTGTTGCTGCGGTTGACTCGGAGGGGGTGGCGGAGAACTTTGTCGTTGGTGTTGCTGCTGCTGCTGCTGCTGCTGTTGTTGCTGCTGCTGTTGCTGCTGCTGCTGTTGCCTGACAGCTGCCTCCTGATGCTGCTTCATCCTCTCCAGAGCGGCTTGTTGCTGTTCGAGGTAGAGTTTCTGTCCCATGTGATACATAGCGGCTGCCGCGGCGTGTGGGTGTTCGGTGGGGAGGGCCGGGAGCCCGTTGTACGGCGGTGGATGAGGTTGCGGTGGTTTGAGCGGTGGCTGAGGACTTAGGGGAGCGCCGATGCTTTCGCCCGCGTCCGAATCGATTCTACTCGTAAGCTCATTGTACTTTTGCTGCATCACTGCCAATTGTTCGTGCAATTTCTTCAGCTGGGTCTGGAGATTATCCTTCTCCTCGCGTTTCTGCCTGATGGTCGACGGATCATCCTCCTCCTCGCTCTCCTCCTCGTCGTCCATCATGGTATCGTTGACGGTGTGCTGGAGGACATGGTGCACCGTCTGTTGCTGGGGTTGGTAAAGTTTACGTTTCTTGCAACCGTTCACCGTGGCAGTTTGTAGGGCTGGACTGCTGCGCATCGTGCTCACGATATTCTCGACACGAGCGCGTTTCGTTTCCGTGGTCGGCGAATTGGCCTCCGTTTTGGGCACGATCGGGCAAGGGGAGTGGCTAGGGCTCCGTTTGATATTCAACGAGTCCTGTATCTCCTCCTTGACGGAGACGGAACCTGACCTTGGCTGCGTGGGACTAGGTGGTAAACTCTGCTCGCAATCGGATCCATCGAGATTCGCTCCAGGCTCCATACCAGCTTCGGCGAACGCCTCCTCCATGGCACGTGCGGCCGCGGCTGCGTCCTCGGCACTATCCTCAGCATCGCCCGGCATCACGGTATCACGATCACTGTGATTCGCGTTATTCACGACGTTATTTCCATCACCACTCTCCTCCCCACCACTCTGCACTGCACCACTACGTGCACTATCACTGTTGTTGTTGTTGTTGTTGTTGTTGTTGTTGTGCTGTTGAGGACTTTGATGATGTTGCTGCTGTGATTTAAGTAGATCCGCTGTGGTGTTGTTGTTGTTGTTGCTGTGTATACTGTTATTGTTGTTGGGCTGTTCTTGCAGCGCGAGCGCGGAAATTTTCCGCCCTTGGAGTATATCGCGGAGCATGTGCTGCGTGAGCTCGGCGGTGGCGGGATCGTCGCAATTAACCACTGCACCGGATTGCAAATTGGCAGCGGGGTCCATGCCGGCACCAGTCATCCCGTGGCCGCCCTCTGGCGGCGAGCCACCGGCGTCACTGGCCTGTTTGACCTGTCGTCCGAGTAGCTCGTTCAACATCTTGGCGGGGCCGTAACCCGGTGCCCCGAAGAAGCCAAAAGCCGCGTGGGCGGAATGCTGCTGAGTGCTAGGACCCGTCGTAGCTGTACTTAAATGACCTTGACTGCTTGCCGCTCCAGCTTGTTGCTGCTGGAGCTGTTGTTGTTGTTGTTGTTGTTGCTGCTGCGATTGCGATTGCGACGGGTGATGTTGCTGCGATTGTTGTTGTTGTTGTTGTTGTTGTTGTTGTTGCTGCTGCTGCTGTTGGTGTGTTGGTCCGCTGCCACCGAAGATAGAACCGTACAGGCCACCGCCACCGTGGAAGGATGGCCGGGAGGTGAAGTGCGGTATACTCGAGTAGTTGTTGCGCGGCTCGCCGGCGTCCACGCGCTGTCTGGTGCGCTTCTGCTTCTTCTGGAGTCGCTGTTGCTTGCTTTCCGTAGTTGCTCCGTAGGGGGCGAAATACTCGGTCTCCTCCCCCGATGACATCATCGGCCGTCTGGTTGGTCGGCCCCCCGAAGGCCTCCGCGTCCCCTCCCCGCCAGGGTTCCTTGTCACCCCTCCCCTTCTCGCTCGAATAGCCCCTCGTGGCTCAGCGCGCTGCCTCTGCTTCTCTACTCTACTATTCTCGCCGTTTCCCCTACCACAGCCGTCTTTTCTCCTCGTTCCTTCTACCTTCTCCTCCCCACTCTGATCCCCAACACTCTCCCCTCTCCACTTTCTTCGTCTTTGGGCTCTCCTTCTCCTTCTCTTCCTTTTCCTCCTCCACCTCCTTCTCCTCCGTCGCGCCTCCGCCGCCGCCGCCTCCTCTTCTTCTTTTTCCTCCTCCTCCTCCTTCTCTGCCGCCGCCGCCGCCGCCGCCTTCTCCTCCTCCTCCTCCTCCTCCTCCTCCTCTTCCTCCTCTTCTTCCTCCTCCTCCTCCTCCTCCTCCTCCTCCTTCTCCTCCGCCTCCTCCGCCGCCGCCGCCGACGACGACGACGTCGGCACCCTTCTCCTTCCCAAAGAACTCTAGCCTTCTCCTCCTCTTCACCTTTTTCTCCTTCTCTCCTGCCTCCTCTTCCTCTTCTTCCGTCGTTCCTCGATTTTTCTCTACTTTCTTTTTACTATTCCTCGCCCCGATCCTTCCGCCTTGGGGCTGACGCCAACAGCTGGGGCTTCTCGGTGACTCGGGCTTGTCGGCGGCTCGTCCTCGTCTCGGGATGGCGATTTCTTATCAGGAGACGCGGCACGTTCTCTGGATCGTTATTCCTATCGTTATTCCTTTTTATGTATCTATCGCTGTTCGTACCGGGTCCGCCGTTTTCGCTACTGTTGCTACACTTTCCGTTACGTTTCTTCGTCACAGTCTTCGATACGATGTTACTTCCGTTTATAATCACGAGAACTGAGGCCGGTGCTCTCGCGGGCGGAATTCTAGTGCTCCCGCCTGGGAGCTGCATCCTTCGAGCTCGCCAAAGGGCTAGGTGCCCCTCGCTCCCTCGTCTCGATTTTCCTTCCCGCGATTCTTCTTATCTCGTCTGAAACAGAAACCAGTTGCATCTGTTAATAATAAATAACCCGTACCGATTTCCTTAAAAAGGAAAAAAAAAAAAAAGAAGAAAACGAAAGGAACTACCGCCTCGTTCAGTGATACGCGATCGATACGATGTATCACGCTCGAAGGAGTTATACCTTATATGAATCGTATTTTATTTTAAACGCGCTCCGTATATAGAACCTCCGACGATTTCCGTAGATAGAAGTGTCTACTGTCTACTATGCACGACTATCGTTGACTTCGTGTGATATAGGGTATAATTTAATTGTTACAGCAAAACGAGTTTATCGTCTAGATTTAATGCGCTCAGTGAAATTTTAATTTTCCTTCGAATTAAAAGTGAAATCTTCGTCTTTATTATATTCCGTCCATCGAAGATCACCGATAACGTTTCAGAACAAGAACAGAATCCATTCCTCGTTTCGATCTGGAAGCTAGAAACATCGCAATCTGAGGAAGAACGTAGGAAAAATTTCTTTCGAATAAAACGTACGTAACCGATAAAATTATATCGGTTCATTGCACGATCAAGTCACCGGTAACTATAGGAGAGAATAGCAAGTTAAATTGCCAGTTAAAAATACTGCTGGTAATCGATCATGACGACAAGACGAAGAATAGCCCTGTAACGTGTGTGTATACGTATGTGTACGTTTTCAACTTGGGCCCAAGTCTTTTGCCGAGAGTTCTGGAGAGAAATGCTAGACAACGAAGACGAGGAGGAAAGACTATAAGAAAATTACTTGCATTAAATTTCTTATTCAGAACGTGGCTTGTTCCGGCGAATCGACTCTTCGTCGATTACACATATTGATCGATGGAGCAGAAGGAACGCGTTCCTCTTGAAAATTCTCAACTCTCGACGAAACTTATCCAACTTTGGATTTAAAAAAAAAATCCTTTCGCGATCTCCTTCGATCAGACGCATAGATTCTCTTGTAAAAACGACGATCCCTACGATTCACTTCATCTTCCCAAACGCTTGCTCGAGTCGAACGAAGGGAAAAGGTTCAGAGATCGTATTTCCACGACGATGGATTTTTTCGTGGATTGATAATCGCTCGATGGACGATAATCGACGCCCGTTTAACGAATTCATTCACCGAGGACAGGGCTCGCGGCGGGGGCCCCGATCGTTTCACCATTCAATTGCCGATACGCATAAGTGCGTGGGTGGAACACGTGAGCCGTTTGCACGCACGCGGACGGCCGATACGGTGTACTACGCACTCTGCTTGGTGTGCACCAATATCAACGCGGTACACATATCAACCGGTGAATGTGCATGAGATTCGAAGCAACAGCTGAGCAGCTTAAAGCACCTGCGCTCAATAGGCTGACATATTCCATAGTTTGCCTACGCACGAGCCGCCTGCGTTCGAGGACACGAGGCACTCGCCCCTATATATCGGCGAGGAGAGCGACTAGACGTATATACGCGCATGAAGCAACAAGAAGGCTCAAAGAGAGGAAGCTAGCGTATATAGCAACACGTGGCAAAAGCGTCGAATTGGTGGAAGCACGGGGATCGTTGTACTTTTTTTCCCTCGGAACGCGCCAGCTCCGACTCTCTCTCGTGCGCGTTTCACTCAGTTTCGCTCCTCTCTCTCTCTCTCTCTCTCTCTCCCTCTCTCCTCGTGTTCGCGCGATCGCGTAAGGAAGAGGGGGTGAGGGAAGCCAACAGCTTAGGATTCATCGATTATTCGCCTGCCTCGACGATGCATCTAATTGAATAACGATTATCCACTGTTTCTGTTTACCTCGTCGAATCAATGAGAAGGACTTAGGGGGAGGTCGAGGAGCGGATGAAAATTGAATTAGAACCTGACACTTCTGTATTCCATCGAATGTAATCACCATTCCTAATTACGACTTTTTTTAGGACTTTGTACTTTCGCCATCTTTAATTCTCTCTTCTTTTCAAAGAAAATTGAAGGTATGTTCTTCTACGAATTTTGGTAGAATTTTCTTCGCCACGTTTTTTGCGATTTGTTTGCAAAAGAGTTGGAAAATATATATATATATATTCAAGTTTCTATTCTTCGTACATGAGATATTCTATTCCGTAACGTACAAGAATATTTCAGAAATATTTTTGAATATTATCATGGTGAAGAATAGAAAGGAAGAAAGATATTGCTCCCCAGCAATTATCTTAGGTGGCATACAGGGGTGCGATCGTTGGTCGAAAGGGTGACATATGGTCTCAAGCTCGATAACGTCTACTCGATCGTACCTGCCTCGAAGAGAACGGAACGCTTCGAGGGGGGTCGGCAAAGTCTGTCCTTCCTATGCGTTTGATCGCCACTTCCCTCCTGCGCCGTCATGCGTGGGACGGCCAGGAATAAAAAGGTGGCCCGGCCGGAAATGGTTTTAGGAACTCTCCCACCGCCTCGACTCGGAAGTAGACACGCCGGGCTAATTACACGCGAGAAACGTGTATACCTAACGATGTGTTCGAGAGACTTTCGTGACCCCATTGTCGATGTTACCTACATCGTGAGCAGATGCGCTTCGTTCGATCCTCCGGCTAAATTACTTTTTTTTTTTTTTTTTTTTTTATTATCTTGTAACGTAAATTTAAATAATAAATTTCTTTCCAACGAATCGTTTATCGATAAATTGTTACTTAAAACTGAATTATTATTCGTCGATCGATAAAAACTTTTTATATATATATATATTTATTTTTTTTTATTATTGGGTAAATTTCTGTATTAGTTTCCGTATTGAAACATGTATTTCATTATTTTTACGCGTCTATCTTATCCAAGTCGATAGAACGAAAATGAACGAATCGAAATCGTTTTGTTCCCCGTGCTTTTATTAATCACGTCCCATGAAAGTGATCAAGCACCTAGACGAGTTGCAAAACACGTCAGGCAGAAAGTAACGAAACGTGACTTTGTCATTACTAAACCATGTACTTGCACGGGCAATGACATTCGCATCGATCATCTTCGACCTAGGCGAAAACAGCCTGATGAACCACCAACAACCATTTCCTGTGCGTCATGCGATATTTACCGTTTAAGCAGGTGACTTGATTTGAAGGGGTGATTGCGGGTCATATCGGTGGGGTGGTGGAACGAGATTAGAAAATCGCTGGTTGAAAATCGACTTGTCCGGTTCGTTCGAATATATAATCCCTGTCACTTTGATTCCAAACCGCATCAAAGATAACCACCTTGAAAAATAATTCGAACAATAGTCAAGAACAAATGTATCTAATAAGGAATTTTAATAATAATTCGAACGCAATCTCAAACGAATGTAACCTAAAAAGGAGAAAAGAAAAAGGAGAAGAAAGAGTCAATAAAGCAAGCAAATAATTAATCATTAGACTGTTAACAGAGGATTGGCTCGTAATCTCGTGAACTTTTCCCAAAGATTTTCCACCGTTAAGGGGTTACGGATCTAAGGTGGCCATTGTTTCCAACTATCGACGCAGATAACTTCCACCTATAGCCCGGGTAATTAAGGAAGAGACCGGAACACAAAAGAGCCCGGGGGCTAGGAAAGCGTTCGTTAATCTCTTACCGTCCATTACGCGGTTTCTATCGTCGGATCGGCCTTGCATGAAATTTCAAAGGGAAGATACCGCGAATCGAAATATTTTAATGAATCTATCGATGAAAAGAAAGAGGCCGGAAACTCGTCCGATTCTTTCTTCACCGCTCGATCCTCCCCACCCAACGAAACGATATCCGAACGCAGTGGAATCGATATGAAACACGAACAAAACTATCGACGTAAACCTATAGTTTGAACAACTTTCTTACCGTCTTTACTTGGAAAAAAAAAATCTTGATTTTTTTCTCCCTCAATAAACGATAACACGAATAGATTGCAAAATTCGAACAGAGGAGCGAATGTTTCGTTTAGAAAAATACTCTTATATCGATCTTACAAGGGAATGATTTTCCTTATGAAAATTGGTCGAAATAAAACAATTTATTTCCATTTTCGTGAAAAAAAAAATCTTGATTTTTTTCTCCCTCAATAAACGATAACACGAATAATCGCGATAGATTGCAAAATTCGAAGAGAGGAGCGAATGTTTCGCTTAGAAAAATACTCTTATATCGATCTTACAAGGGAATGATTTTCCTTATGAAAATTGGTCGAAATAAAACAATCTTATTTCCATTTTCGTGCTTCTCTAAATTCCTCCTGGCTTGGAACCACACCAGGCGTGGCAAGCTCCTACTTGGCCTACCATCACATGGTGCGCGTACCCCACATGGCGTTGTAACGAGGTACAACGGCATGTGCATCGGAATTCCACCCCCTCCCCCTAGATAGGTGTCATGTGGTCCGAGTGTTCGCAGGGGGTTGTGCATGGGAACTCGGGTATGGCCATCGGCCCATGTCCTACGTGCACACCCCGGCACGCATCCCTTCTCCTCCTCCTCCCCCTCCCTTATAGACGTACAGTTAAATTATTGTTAACATTCGTCTCGTTTATTATATCCGTGGACTCTTGCCCGCAACCCTTTCGCAGACCACCACGAACGCACGCGTATATACAACAACGTGCAAACACACGACGTAAACGCGACGTTTCACGACGTCTCTAATCGTCAATGTGTATTTACACGCGTGTACGCGATTAGCAGACAGACAGTCGGACAGTCGAATCACGAGACGAAGGATATCAGAGAGAGAGAGAGAGAGAGAGAGAGAGAGAGGAATAACACACAGGAATAGAGAGCGAGGAAGAGAGACACAGAGTTTCTGCTTCTGTGTCCTATATACACACGGAATGATACACGAACACAAAGGCGGAGGAACGGAGGTGGCTAGGTGTGCGCGCATGTATACACACACGGCTCACACGCGCTCTGCATATTATCGGGTTGCTCCGATGCAACAAGTTGACCGGGTGTCAATTGATGTGTTATTAATTGGAGGTTAATTGCGTTAATGCGCTGCCGACCCCGCCCCTCCCTCTCCCTCTACCTCCCCCGCTACCTCCTT